CCTTTTCGGCGTTCCGATGCTCAAAGAGGACCCAAGAGGCCTCCAAGACCGCCCCAACACAGCCCAAGAGGCTCCCAAAATGGCCCCACGATGGCCCAAGACGGCTCCAAGACGGCCCAAGAGGCGGCCCCACGGGCCCAAGACACCCCAAAAAGGGGGCGGAGACGCCCCATAATCGCCCCAAGCCGCCCAAGATGGCCTCAAGACGGCCCAAGAGGCCGCCAAGACGGCTCAAGAGGCCGCCAAGACGGCCCAAGAGGCTTCCAAGAGGCCTCCCAAGAGGTCCGCGCGAGAGACAAAAGTCATTGATGTTCAGAAGGTTTTGCTGGGTCTCAGCCTTCTCGCCCTTTGGATTCCCGACGCTCCAAGAAGGCCCAAGATTCCTCCAAGACCGCCCCAACACAGCCCAAGAGGCTCCCAAGATGGCCCCACGATGGCCCAAGACGGCTCCAAGACGAACGCCCTAAAACGGCCCAAAAAAGGCTGGAGACGCCCCAAAAGCGCCCCAAGCCGCCCAAGATGGCCTCAAGACGGCCCAAGAGGCCGCTAAGACGGCCCAAGAGGCTTCCAAGAGGCCTCCCCAGAAGTCCCCACGAGACAAAAATCGCTGATGCTCTTAAGGTTCTTGGAGGTTTTCAGCCTTCTCGCCTTTTCGGCTTTCCAGCGCTCCAAGATTGCCCCAGAGGCCCCCAAGACCGCCTCAAGACGGCCCGAGAGGCCCCCAAGATCCCAGACGGTCCAAGACGGCCCCAAAATGGCCCCAGAGGCGCCCAATATCGCCCAAGAGGGCCCCAAGACGGCCCCCAGAGGAGCCCAAGAGGGGGAACACGAACCACCAATTCGAGCCTTCCGCCCCAAGAGCCCCCCAGGAGGCCCCAAGAGGCCCCACGAGGCCCCCAAGAGGCCCAAAAAGAAACTCCCGGAAGCCCCCAAACGGCCCCTAAGAGGCCCCCAGAGGCCACGAACGCGCAGGCAAGCGCCTGCGATGGCACAGTACGGGCCAGCGGAGCGAGCGAGGCGATACAATAACCCCTGCCGGGCGCGCCCAACCCGACTGTTGCAACACGCGCCGGCGCGGCAGCGCGAGATCAACCAGAGCGTGCCGGCGCAGCAGGCCCAGCTTGAAGGGGCCCTGGGACACACAAATAAATACACACAAATAAAATGTCTTCGCCCCCACTCCCCGTATTTTCCCATATTTTCCTGGGAATCGACGATTAATTGTGTCTGTGTGTTTTTTCCCCTCCTGACAACTTCGTACACCACGACGGCTCGGCCGGCCCTCGTGGCGAAGCCCGCCAGCGCGGCCGCGCGAGGTCTCGTGAAGCGCGCGCCGGCGCGGCCAGCCTGGCTTTGCTGGGCGCGTCGGCGCGGCCAGCCTGGCCTTATGTCGGGCGTGTCCCCCTACAGGGGGATTTTCGACGAACAATGAAAAATACCCAAAAAATACCCCAGAAAGAAAAAATAGTCCCAAAATAGTCCCCGAACTATGTTGGGACTACTTTTTTGGGACTATTTTTTAAATATTTTTCATGTTTCGTCGAAATCCCCCTGTAGGGGGACAGGCCCGACTGAAGCCTGGCCTTATGTCGGGCGCGGCGGCGCGGCCGGCTCCCTGGGTTCGTCGAGCGCGGCGGCGCGCTTGGCGCGGCGTCGGCGTGCGCGTCGGCGCCGCCAGGGCCCCCGGCGGCCTGGAGGCCGAGCGCGGCCGCGCGGCCGCGCAGGGCCGCGGCCTGCGTGCCTACAGTCAATGAAGAAATCATGGGTTAAGAAATTCATAGTCTCAGAATTTGAATAAAAACCCAGAATTTCTATCAAAATCTTGGGATTTCCACTGAAACGTTAAGAATAATCGAGACTCTGGCCGAAAACTTGGGTTTTCTTAAGCATCGCCTGGAGTGTAGCAAGGACGGGTGATGAGGACACAAGACCCTTGGAGGCCGAAGTTGGGTTTTTTTGGGCGGCGGGCCACCAGTGATAATGGCAAGGGCGAGCCTCGGAGGCAAGGACACAAGGGTACCCTATAGAAAGGCGCGCGTCCTTACTAGGCGCGTTGACTGGAGCGCGCCAGCCTTCGCTTTGCGACGGCGCAGTCGCAGCCCCGGGGCGCCTCCGGGGCCTCGATGCACGCTGGCCTTCTCGGCGGCCGCGGGGGGGCCCCCGCGATCCGTCGCAAGGCGCCCGCGTCGCCGCTTCGAGGCCGCGGAGACCGCCGGGCAGACGTGAGACCGCCCGCGGTGCCTTAGCATGGGGGGCGGCGCGCGATTGGGAGTGCACCCTTGCGGGGCGATTGGGATGGCCCCAAAGCCCGACGCAACCCTGTCAGAGACCGCTTGGCCTCGCTTGCCATCGCTCGGACGGCCATTCCGAGTGCACTGTCTGGTTTCGTGCGTGCTATTTCCTAGATGATCCCAGATGCTCCAAGATGCTCCAGATTTTCTGGCGCTGGCTTCGCCGAGGAAACTGCACACGTCCGAGCGATGCCAGGGCCATGTTCACGCGTGCACGCATGCGGGCGACGTGTGCTGGTAGCTCATACTGATTGGTTCTGCGCCAGAAGCAACCGAACTGTACGTGTACATGATACGTACTTGTACCTGATACGTATAAGATGTGTGAAGATACCCAATGAGCCATTCCACTTTTGCTCGTTTTAGCGTGGCCCGAGTAAGAAGCCCTTGCGATCGTAAAAGTTGTCAGTTGTCCGCTGGCACTGAAACTCGCGACGTTAAACAGATTCGACGCCAACCCTGGGAATCCCACCAGCCCTCTCAGACAGGGATCGGATTCTGCGTTCGATGCTTGCCGACCCTCCGCTGGCAAACTGATCGCGTCGGAGGGCTGGCAACCGCTGCCATCCTGGCTCGAAGCGCGCGGAAGCCCTCAGGGCTCGCCAGTGGAAACCCACAGAAAGATTGAGGAGACTCGGGGAAGCCTGGGCAGAGACCTGCAGCGTGGTGCCGACGTCTCAAGCGAGAAAATGGATTCCGAGGCTGGGTTCATGAAGAAACGTCACGAGCAATGAGCGGCAGCCGCGGAAACCTTCAGGAAACCGCCAGAAGGCGCCCAGAAACCACTCGTGTTTTAGAAGTCCCAAGCGAAAGCTTCATTTTTGACCGCTCCCTGGGACCAATATATGCTACAATTAATCTTGGAGTCCCGAAACGGTGCGGTGATCGACCGTGCGGTGACCTCGAAATCCCCCAAGACCTCACCGCACGGTCCGTCACCGCACGGTCTTGGGACCTTGGAGGCCCCAGTCGCCCGAGACGTCCTCGGAGAACGACCCGAGTCCCAAAACCGTGCGGTGTCCCTGAATCCCCGCCGACTCACCGCGCGGTGTGGTCACCACCCCGTTTGGGGGCCCCCGATGAATACCACGCAGGCAGCGGGGAACCCACCCCCTACTTGGGGAGCCTGCGACCCCGCCCGCCAGGCCCGCGCAGCCTGTAGAACTCTCCACGACGGGTCTCGCCCACGGGATCCCGCAGTCGCTGACGCGCGCCAACGTTCTCGGCACGTCACTGCCACGCATTACCATTGAGTCGGGCGTGTCATCTACAGGGGGGGTTTTGGACGAAACATAAAAAAAGACTCAACAAATACTCCAAAATGGCCGAAAAACATTCATTACAAAAAAATCACCAGACTACTGTTTGACTATTTTTGAAGATTCCCCCGGGGAGGGACAGGCCCGACTTAACGTTGCCATCGCCTGCATCATCACTGCAATCATTGCTGCCCTCGTCGACGCCGTCAGTTGTTCCTGCCATCCTGATCGCTGTCGCTCCGACTGCTGCATCCACTGATACCGCAGCAGCACGCGACGAGAATCGAAATCTGGGCGCTCCCTTACCGAGCGGCCGTCCTGCGACCAGCGTGGCGTCGAGCCCACCTGTTTTCTTTCTGTGCTTCGTCGAAAGATTTGCGGTTACCCCCTCACCAGCATGCCTCTGCAGCCCACGACTGGAGAGCGCCAGCGCCAGCGAAACGACTGGTGTCCCCCCATCTCCCCGATGTTCCCGCACTCTCCTGGATATCGAAGAGTACTTGTGCCTGTGCCTATTCTTCCCTCCTGAACCACGCAAGGGCGCGGCCTCGTCGGATGGGCCCCGATCGCGGTCTGGCCCATGCTGACAAGAAGAGGAGCCGCGCGGCCCCGATCCCGACCTGGCGCAAGCCAGATCGTGCCTCAACACACACGGGCCTACCTCACACGGACGAGATCGAGACCCAGCCCGAAACAACTCGAGAATCGAGAGGCCTTCCAAATGGGGTCCGAATAGATGGGGCCAGAGAGACGCGTCGGCGATGCGTCGGCGATGCGTCGGCGTGGAGAAAATCGGGCTCCACCTCGAGCCGCATGTCCCGTGCATCGGCGATGCGGCGCGACCCTAAGTTCCCACCTATGCTCGGACACCACCAGCGAGGCCAAGATCGGGGATCTGCTGACACGGGTCAATCCAAACCCGGGTCAGTCAGGCCTTGCAGGATCCTGCAAGATCCTGCACCCAACCCGGATCAATGCGACCCTGGCCGTGCAGCATCCTGCACGGATCCTGCAGAGATCCTGCACCCAAACCCGGGTCAATGCGACCCTGGCTCTGCAGGATCCTGCAAGATCTGGCGCCCTGGCTGACCCCCGTTTGCACTGACCCCCATCTCCTGACCAGCCTGCGCTGCAGGCTGCGTCTGCGCAACCGCCGCCGCCCGGAGCCGAAGCCGGGACCGAGCCGCCCGTGGCCCTCGCGGCAGCCTCTGCCGCCTTGACCGCCGCCTCGCGCCCCAGGGTCGTGGGCAGGCGTCCTCGAGGTTGTCCTTAAGCCGGGCCTGTCCCCCTACAGGGGGGTTCTTCGACGAAAAATAAAAGATACCCCCTAAATAGGTCAAAAATAATCAAGAAAAAGTCTGAGGAGTCTCAAGGCTCCCGACAAGAGACCCACATTGCCATGCTGGCCCTGGTCGGCGACGGGCGCGCGGCGCGGCGCGGCGGGGCCCACCCCCGGGACTCCGGCGGCTCCGCGGCGCCGTCGGGCTCCACGGCATGCCTCTGGCGCCCCGCCGCGGGCGCGGACTTTCGGGGCGCCCCAGCGGCCCCCGACGTCGATGCCGACGCCGATGTCGGCGGCGCGCTTCGTCGTCGGGAAGGGGAGGGGGAGAATGGGCAGGAGGAGGAGGAGGAGGAGGAGGAGGAGGAGGAGGAGGAGGAGGGGAGGAGGAGGAGGAGGAGGAGGAGGAAGGAGGAGGAGGAGGAGGAGGAGGAGGAGGAGGGGGGGGGAGGGAGGAGGGCGGAGGCGGAGGAGGAGGAGGAGGAGGAGGAGGAGAAAGAGGGGGGGGGCAAGCAGTTTTTGGGAGGCGGCGCTCTGGACCCAAGCTGCGGTCGTGGCTCCTGCAGGGCGGCGGCGGTGCGAAGGGGGGCGCCAGGGCGGCAAGAGGGCGACAGGGGGGGAGGGGGAGGAAGAAGGGCTGCCCGCGGACGGCTGGGGCTCCCTCGGAGCGTGCAGCACTTCGGGGTGTGCCCCCGGGGTGCAAGCCTCGAGTGCTGCCGACCGCGCCTTTGGACGGAGAAGAAGGAGGAGGAGGAAAAGGAGGAGGAGTAGGAAAAGGAGGACGACGAGAAAGAGGAGGAGGAGGAGGAGGAGGAGGAGGAGGAGCAGGAGGGTTGGACAGGCTCTGCACGGAGACCAGCTTCGGGCGGCCCTGGGCCCGACACAGACTCCCGCGGGGCGGCCAAAGCCGTGGCAGCATCGGCCGTCGCGACTCTGCCGCGGCTGTGAGGAAGACATTGGGTGAACAGGCCTGGCTCTGGAGGATCTTTTTTACGGCACCCGTTCCAGCCACGAGCGGGGCTTCGAGTGGTCCGTAGCTCCCTGCTCGAGCGGCGTGGGGTCGACGGCACGGGCACGGGTGCTCAGCTGTGTGACGAGATGCCCAACTTGCCGTCTGTCCAAGACTGGATTATAGGCAGGCTCACGCGAGATTATGTTCTGCTGATGCGCCGAAAATCGCCTCCCAGCCCAAGGAGGACTCCCAAGAGCGTTCCCAGAGGCCAAAGTCCTATGAAAAATTCTAGCGTTGTTGATTTGTTCGGGCTTCCAATGCTTAAGACGGCCCCGGAGTCCCGCAGGTTCACCCCAAAACGGCCCAAGAGGATCCCAGGGGGTCCCAAGTTGGCTCAGGAGGGCCCTGAGACAACCCAGGAGGCCCCCAGACGGCCCAGAAGGCCTCCCCCCAAGAGATGCCCAAGAGGGGAAAAGAGAAGGGGCATTGGGGGCCTGTTCCCAAAAAGATTGCACCCAAAACGCCCAACACCAGCAAGAGTCTCTCAGAAGCACACAAAAGTCCCGAGAGGCTCCCAAGAGGCCTCCAAAAGGTTTCCATTAGGACCTGCCGGGGGCCCCCGAGGGAAAAGGCTCCCAAGTGGCACCCGAGGGGCATCCCAAGACACCCCCACAGCCATCCAAGAGGCCTCTGGCCCACAACCCAAGCACGGTCGCCGGATGGGCCGACGGTCAGTACCTTGCACTGTTTGTATGCCTAACACTCATACAACTGGTCAACCTGTTTCCGCATCATCGTCATCATCATCCTCACCACCACCACGAACCACCAGGACCGGCATCCTTATCACCACCACCACCATCACCATCACCATCGTCATCAGCATCACCATCAGCATCAGCAGCAGCACCATCATCATCAGTTTCATCATCATCAGCATCATCATCAAGAACAGAAACAGCATCAGCATCAGCATCCGCATCATCATCATCAGCATCATCATCATCATCAGCATCATCATCACCATCCTCATCAGCAGCAGCAGCCATCATCATCAGCATCAGCATCATCATCAGCATCATCAGCATCCTCATCATCGTCATCATCAGCATCGTCATCGCCATCGTCATCGTCATCGTCGTCGTCAGCAGCAGCAGCGCCTCCTCACGGGCCCCTGGAGAGGGAGGCGTCGAGGATGCTCGAGAGGATCTGAGCGGCAGCAGATTGAGCAGCAACACAGCAGGCATGGCAGGTCAGCGTTTCTCTGAGACTCGCGCGCCGAAGCCACTGCAGACAGTGAGCGTCTTGCGCAGCCTTGCTGGCGCGAGGCATCACCTCGCAGGAAGTCCTGATAGGGCTTGTCCTGGCACGAGGAAGGCCAGGGGCCACGGAGCTCAGGACATGCCGAGTGCACCAAATGTTTGGCTGACAGTGCAGCAGCCATGCACTCAGAGAAAAGGATCGGGCCGAGAATCCTGGGAAAAAAACGGAAAAACTGGCTGGTGCCTGAGAGCTGAGAGCTCCATTGGGGATTCCCCGCTGCAGTGCCCCGGCGGAAAACCGCGGGTCACGCCCGGAGGCCGCGAGGAGGACATCCACTTCCACGCCCATACCGCCCTTGACGTCCACCACCTCATCCTCCCCGATCCGTGGCTGCGTGCCTCGGGGGGCCTCCTCGGCCAGGGGCCGGCGCTGCCTCGCGCAGAGCGTGGGCACATACGATGCTGAGCAGCTGGCTGCGCAGTAGCCCACCAGAGTTCAGACGTTTCCAGGCTTTGGTAGCGGATCATCAGGAGGAGCACATGAGCTCTGGCCTGCTCTGATCGTCAGCATCGCCATCATAATCGTAGCCATCGTAGCAATGACCGTCAAAATCGTCATCGTCGTCATTACCGTCCTATCGTCCTCATCGTCATCATCACCGTCATTCGCCCTGTCCTCCTCCTCATCCTCCTCCTCCTTATCCTCCAATCCTCCTCCTTTTCCGTCCCCTCCTCCTCCGCCACCACCTCTCACCACCTCCTTCTCCATCTCCCCCTCCTCCATCTCCTCCTCCATCTCCTCCTCCACCTCCTGCTCCTCCCCCCCGTCATCGTCATCATAATCAACATCATCAAAATCAGAATCATCATCATCACCACCACTATCATCATCATCATCATCATCATCATCATCATCATCATCATCATCATCATCATCAGCATCATCATCATCATCATCATCATCATCATCATCAGCATCATCATCATCATCAGAATCATCCTCATCAGCATCATCATCACAATCATCATCACTATCAGAATCATCATCATCATCATCATCAGCAGCAGCAGCATCAGCAGCATCATCAGCAGCATCATCGCTACCACCACCTCCATTACCAGCATAATGATAATAATGATCATCATCAGCATCATCGTCAGAAGCAGAAGCAGAAGCATCAACAAACACCGACATCAGCATCGTCGTCCTCATCATGAGTATCAGCACCAGTACAAACATCAGCATCATCACCAGCATCATGAGTGTCAGCATCATCAGCATCAGCATGAATCGACATCATCTTAATGGTTGCCCTCATCACCAGCATCAGCATCAACATCAGCGTCATCATCATCAGCATAAGCATCAGCAAAGTCATGATCGTCATCAACATCAACATGCTCAGCTTCCTCATCATCATCGTCATCATCATTAGCAGCAGCATCATCGTCAGTATCATCAGAAGCATCATCAGAAGCAGCCTCATCATCATGATCAGCAGCATTATCAGCATCAACATCAACATCATCGTCGTCATCAACGTCAGCATCAACATCTGCATCAGCATGACAACCATCATCATCATCAGCATCATCACCACCATCAGCACCAGCATCAGCATCATCACCACCATCAGCATCATCATCATCACCATCATCATCAACAACATCATCAACAATATCATCATCGGCACAAACATCAACGTCAACATCAGCATCGTCGCCATCATCAGCATCATCATCATCAGCATCATCATCATCATCGTCATCAGCATCCACATCATCAGGATCAGCGTCAGCATCAGCATCAGCAGCATCACAACCATCATCTGCAGCATCATCGCCAACAGCAGCAGCAGCATCAACATCGACATCAACAGCATCGTCGTCGTCACTACCATCATCATCGTCATCATCATCGTCATCAGCATCGTCTTCATCATCATCAATCACAGCACCACCACCACCAAAATCGTCGTCATCATCATCAACATCAGCATCAATATCCGCATCAGCATCATCATCGTTAGCAGCATATCACCAGCGGTATCATCAGAATCAGTCTCAGCATCAGCCCCATCAACAGCATCATCCTCATCAGCAGCATCATCAGCATCAGCATCAACATCCACATACACATCATCAGCATCGTCGACATCATCAAAATCAGCATCAGCATCAGCATCATCACAATGGTCATCATCATCGTCGTCGTCATTCTCATCCACATCAGCATCATCAGCAGCAGCAGCATCAGCGTCAGCATCTCATCATCATGAGCAGCATCAGCAGCAACATCAACATTGACATCATCGTCGTCATCATCAACATCCGCGTTAGCATCAACATCAGCCTCATGGCCATCACCTTCAGCACCATCAGCATCAGCATCAACAGCATCATCAACATCATCATCGTCGTCAACCTCATCATCCTCATCATCATCATAGTCAGCACCAGCATAAGCATCAGCATCATCGCGGTCTTCGTCATCAGCATTCTCATCATCAGTATCAACATCAGCATCATCATCATCATCATCATCATGATCATCGTCGTCGTCGTTACCATCGACCTCAGCATCAGCATCAGCATTATCAGCGTTACCATCAAAATTGTCTATATCGGTATCATCATTCGAATCAGCATCAACATCAACATTATCATCGTCGTCGTCATCATCAACTTCAGCATCCTCATCAGCATCAGATTCAGCAGCATCACCACCATCAGTATCATCACCAACAGCATCACAATAATCAGCCGCAGCATTAGCATCAACATCAAGATCAACATCAGCATTAGAATAATCATCATCAACATCAACATCAACATCAGCATCCTCGTCGTCGTCATCATCAACATCAGCATCATCATCCTCATAAGATCATCATCCTTATCGTCGTCATCATCAGTATCGCCATCATCGTCGTCGTCTTCATCAGCATCAGCATCAGCATCAGCATCACCAGCATCAGCATCATCAGCATCATCATCAGCATCAGCATCAATATCAACATGAGCACCCGCATCGTCGACGTCGTTATCATCAGCATCAGCATCAGCATCAGCATAAGCATCAGCATCATCACAGTCATCATCAACCTCATCATCAACAGCCCACAGCATCAACATCAACATGAACATCAGCATCAACATCAGCATCAACATCTTCATCGTCGTCGTTATCAGCACAATCCTCATCAGCAGCATCATCAGCATCAACAACAACATCCACATCGGTATCAGCACCAGCACCAGCAGCATCATCATCATCAACATCAGCATCAACATCAACATCAACATCAGCATTATCAGCATCATCGTCGTCGTCATCAACATCAGCATCAGCACCAGCATCAGCAGCATCACTATCATCATCAGCAGCTGCATCAACATCAACATCAACATCCTCATCGTCGTCGTCATCATCAGCATCAGCATCAGCATCAGCATCAGCATAATCACCATCATCATCATCAGAATCACCATCATAACCATTTTCACTATCATCACCATCATCAGCATCAATATCGTCACCAACACTGTCATCATCGGTCCAGCTGTCGCTGACCACCATCATCACCATCATTGTCATCATCTTGAGCTCACAGCTCGGATGTCGCTCACCGCCCTCTCCCCCCCCCACGCCCCTTGGCCCCGCCAGCTGCCAGTGCGAAGGTCCTGCTCGAGCTCTGGTCCCTCCTGCGGTGGCCGCAGCGGGGCAGCAGGAAGGAGAGGAACAGGGCTGGGCAGGATCCAACTGAGACACAGCCAAACAGCTTGCGGCATCGAGCTCCTTAGTCGCATAGAACGATCTCTCTGCTACCGTGCCTCGAGGCACGCAGTGGAGTGTCGCTGCATGGAAGGAGGTGGGCGTCCGGGTGGCCTGTCCCCCGCGCCACGACCAGGACCAGGACCTGCACCACGACCAGAATCAGGACCAGGACAAGAAGGAAAAACATAGACCAGAGGACCAAAGAAGGACAAGGACCAGGACCAGGATAAGAAGGACAAGAAGGAAAAACCACGACCAGGACCACGACCAGGACCAGGACAAGAGGAAGAGGACCTGCACCACGACCAGGACCAGGACAAGAAGGGAAAACATAGAGGAGGCCGAGGACGGAAAAGGACCAGAAGGAGCAGGAGGAGCAGAAGGGTGGAGGAAAACGATGAGGAGGTGAGAGGAAAAAGGGGCGAGAGAGGAGGAAGAATGGACGAGGGAAGAGGAAGGGGAGAGGAGGGAGGAGGGAAGGGAGGTCTCACACCAGACAGCAATTGTCCTATCGCCTCCCCCACCCCTAGCCTCCACTCCAACCTCCCCCCGCCCTACCCTCCTCCCCCCTTTCCCCGTCGATATTTCTCCCATTCCCTGTACCGCTCGTCACTTCCCTCTCCTCTCATCCCCTCTCCATCCCCCCCCCGTCCCTCTACAAGATTGGCACCGAAATCTGCGCTGTGTCGAATGCATTCCATTCCGCATCAATGCCAAGCAACCGCTGGTGTCATGCGCGAGGGAGGAGGCAGGGTCCTTAAGCCCCAGATGCTCAGTCGTGCTGGAGGTCCCCCCTTTTGGGGCAAGAGGAATGAAGGGCGGCGAGTCGGCTTGGATCTGCCGGTCATGCGAGCACCATGAGACCCCAGGCCCACCGCGCACGTATGAAGTAAATGCACACAGCGTATTTCGCAATCCTCCTCGTCCCCCGGAGACACCCGACACCCTGGGCAGCGGCGGCGAGAGACGCGTCTCCAGCGGGATGTACCGGTGGCTGAGAATGTGCTGCGCCATGTGCTTGCGCTCGTCCACCCCTACGTGGCCCGTCGACGTCACCATCTGCGGAGCCTGCTTGGGAACTCCCACCCCCACCCACCCGCCCAACCTCATCCGCCCACCCTCCCTCCAATCCACTCGATCACATCCGACCTCTTCGTCCACCCGCCCCACCCACCCACCCCACCCAGCCCACCACGACCGCAGGCCCGTCTGCCCCGCTAGCCCCCTCGCCGACCTTCGCCTCCAGCATCCCACACGCCCACCCACCCACGCCACCTCCACTGAGAAGGTGGAGGAGGAGGAGGAGGAGGAGGAGGAGGAGGCGGAGGGGGAGGAGGAGGAGGAGGAGGCGGACGAGGAGGAGGAGGATGAGGAGGAGGAGGCGGAGGAGGGAAAGGAGGAGGAGGAGGAGAAGGAGGATGAGGAGGAGGAGGCGGAGGAGGAGGAGGAAGAGGAGGAGGAGGAGGAGGAGGAGGAGGGACTCCAGCTCGCCCCAGCTCGCCCCCGCCTGCCCCTCCACCCCGCCCCAGCTCGCCCCCGGTGCTCTTCCAGTGAGCCTCCGCCTGCATACAGGCTGCCCCTGCCAAGCCGCGTGCAGGCGGTGGCGAGTGCGAATTCGGAGAGCCCACCCCTGCCTGCCTCGCCTTCTCTGACCACCCAGCACCCGACTCCCTCCCTCCCTCCCTCCATTCCTCCCTCCCCTCCCTCCCCTCTCCCTCACTCCTCCGCCTCCCTTCCCTTCCCTCCCCGCGCCCTCTCTGCCCACTTCCGCCCTTCCGTTCCCTTCACCCTCCCCCGCTCCCCCATCCAACCTTCCCTGGCCGACCGCCCCCGCTGCCACCAAAGATGGGCTGGGCGCCTGGGAGTAGAAGTTGTTGCTGTACAGCTTCGAGTAGAAGTGGGAGCCGTACTCGGAGCCGACCTGGCGGTGCCCCCGTGGCCAGCTGTAGGCGAAACGCGGGATAGACCGAGAGGACGCACCGAGCGGGGTGATGAAGGGTAGCGAGCCTGCAACTGAAGCCAGCCCTCCTGCCATCTGCTCACCATCGTCCTCCTCCTCCTCCTCCTCCTCCTCCTCCTCCTCCTCCTCCTCCTCCTCCTCCTCTTCCTCCACCTCCTCCGCCTTCTCCTCCTTATCCTCCTCCTCCTCCTTCTCCACATCCTCCTCAACATCATCCTCCACATCCTCCTCTTCGTTGTCGTCGTCGTCGTCCATCATGATCCTCATCTTCCTTCTCCTCCTCCTCCTCCTCCTCCTTCTCCCCCTCATCATCATCACCATCACCATCATCATCATCATCATCATCATCATCATCATCATCATCATCATCATCATCATCATCATCATCATCATCATCATCATCATCATCATCATCATCATAATCGTCATAATCATAATCATCATCATCATCAGCATCATCATCATCATAATCCTCCTCCTCCTCCATCATCATCATCAGCATCATCATCATCCTTATCCAATCATCATCATCACCATCATCCTCAGCGTCAGCAGCAGCATCAATATTATCATCAGCATCATCATACTCATCATCATCACTACTGTTATCACGATCATGATCACACTCATTATCATCATCACCACGATCATCATCATCATCAGCAGCAGCATCACCATCATCATCACCATCATTATCACTATCATCACCAACAGCATCATCGTCGTCATCAGCATCATCATCAGCATCAGAATCATCATCAGCAGCAGCATCAGCATCACAATGAGCATCATCATCAGCAGCAGCA